GGTCGAGACCCCCCCCCCCCCCCCACAAGCTTCCCGCGGGATGCCTTGGCCTGACACGCACTGTGACGGCCCCTCAGGGATTCGCAGGCTTCAGATGTGGCCCGTGAAACTCCTTTGATATGTTGCCCGGCCAAAATGCTGAGATCATAAAAATATCACCATGTGACTCGATAGTCTTGAGAGAGCTTGGAGGCAGCCTTGGCCTGGCTATTAACTGGCTTATATTAACCCTGTTATATGTTCCATATATGTATATTTAATACACACACACACACACACACATTTGTATATCTTTGTAAGGACCATCTATTCATTTCTTTGGCAAAAAACCTAATCCCAGCAATGACACCTCTAACCCCCACCCATCCCTAACCTTGACCATAAGTAACCAAACAAAATACGAAACTTTCAGCATTTTATTTTCTTTTATTTTAGTCAGTGTTTAATGTTAAAAAAGTGGGGTTTTTTGTGATGATGTGACTGTCAACAATAATGGTATGGTTGCTATTCAAACAATGCATTTAATACTTGGGAAATAGTTCTTGGGGAACTGGTGATGTTTACGTGCTAATAATGAGTTCACAGGCATCCGACAATAGTGATAAGCCCTATTTATAATATCCCTAAAACTCAGAAAGCACTGATCACAGGCGTTTGAGCTACGGACGCTCCCTCACAGCCCTGTGTGTAATTGCATAGTTCAGTGAGGTCATTTCGGTCCAGATATGGGTAAAAGGGTTTGCGGGGGGGGGGTTGCTCATGTGGAATTCTTCAGTCCCTAGCTCCACTGAGACTCCAGTTTAAATCTGTTTTCAAGGTCAACAAAATCCATCCGAGAAAATAGCAGTAATCCACAGCAAAACAGCCCCACGTAACCGGCCCAACACAGCACTTTAGTTTTGCGAATCCATTTTCGGATTCCTCTTTATTCGGGGATTTTTATTTTAATCATTAAGGGATAATCGACACACCTTATTCGTGTCACTCCACCCCGCTCCATCCATATGGTACTGCACGCTTACTTTTATTTTGGAAAATCTGTGGCCTTACAGCAGCTCTGGGCGTGCAGAGGATAGCGGGCAGCAAAATGTCAGAGGACAGAGTCCACAGAGAGGTGCTCCGTTTTCGAAGAAAAAAAAAAAAAAAAAGCGTGTGACCTCTCGAGTCGAAAAAAAAATCCAGGTTAACAATAAAGTCCTTTATTTTAGACAGCTCTGGTGTATCACTATTGCTAATACATAAAAAGACCCGATAAACCCTAAGTTGCCCCCTTTCCAGGAATGCTCCAGAAACTTCTGTGTTGTAAAGGGACAACCTCGACCTTGACCCCTCACTGACACTGCTGTCAGGTCCTGAGCGACGGCCTCGCTGGGTCCCTTAGCCCATCTTAATCAAACTGCCGCTTTGCATCGGCCAAAAAATAAAAATGGCGGAATTTATGGCTCATTTATCTCCGGCGTTAGCTCAAAGCAAAGGTGGATGGCTCTCCTTGAACGCTGCTGCAGATTCATCACCGTGATTAAGTGGGGTTTGCAGTCTGCGGGCTTAAGGAAACCTTGGGAGATGGGAAGAGAGGACCCCACTGACCTCTACTGCAATGCAGGGGTTTGCTGTCCCCCTCCAACCCACAAAAAAACAAAAAAATAGAGCCTTCCTCTGCCATGACAAGAAGCAGGATGTGGTAGGAGCCTTAAAACTCAAAGGGCCCTGTTTAAAAAGGCACAACAAATTGATGGAGTAAAGCACAGGGGAGAGAGGATTGAGATTTCACGGTAAACAGACTCGTACTCCAACGTCCGCGAGACCAACACACGTCGAGATGCCAGTAAATCCAATGGCCTCGCTTGTGGAGACGGCAGTCGGAGACAGAATGCTGTGTTCGGGTGACTTGCTCCGGAAGGGAAGCGGCCAATTCCAAAGCAGCGATGATGTCACCTTTAAAGGTTGGGTTTATTTATGAATAGCTAGAAAATAGCAAATCTGACGTCGCTCTGAGCAAAAGCATTAGCTAATCTGTCACATAGCCTTTGAAGTCGCGGAATTATGTGCATTGGACACGCAGCAGAGAGTGTGAGCTGTAGTGAGGGCGGAGGTGGGGGGGGGGCACATCTGACTACGTCAGGCACCTTTGCCTTTGAGGCCTTTGCTTTTTCTGAAGGTTACGGATACAGGAAGGCGGCTCGGTGAAAGGCAGGCGACAGCGTCGCTCCTTACAGAAGCGAAGCGCTGTTTTCTTCCTTGTGTTCATTATTTTCTTTTGTCACGGAATAATGCAACCTTTTTCCCAGTCCGCTCCTCCTGTCATTCCCTGACAGAATTGAACATGGCTACATTTTACCCGGTGCCAAAGTTGCTCCTGTGAGACACCCCTGCTCCCCCACCCCCACCCTCCTCAGCCCCTCCCTTTTAGAAATGGCCACTGATTACGACAAACTCCATCCCGGATTGGATAGAGCCATGGAATGTCAGAGGTGCAGTAGTTGTACTGTGCATCAAAGCGTGGGGGGGGGTAGGATGTGGGGCTAGCATCTGAAATCAAAAGGATGGCTTATAACCCCCCCCCAAAGATGACAATGAATAAGACAGCCTCTCTTTCTTACATATTGTTTTTCTTCAAGACTCAGGGGATTTAAACTGATGGAGAGCAAAAAGATGGGAGGAGTGTCAGGGAAGAATCTCCAAACCCCCCCTTAACCAACAGAGGCCCCCATCTCCTTAAAAGCTCTCAACAAGTCCTGTCACGGAGGCCTCAGTACCAATCCTAGTCTGATAGAGCCTTCCTCTGCCATGAGGCAGAAATCGCCCTTCCCCGCTTTGAATTGACAGGCTGAATTATCATGCTTTGATTGCACACTTAGTTAACACGGCTTTCAGGAAGGGAAAAATTGGCAGGTTCTGCCTATTCCTCACAGAATTTAGATTCCTGAACCGGCATTGAAGTAGTTTCTACCAATGTAGAGGAAATGAAACAAAAAGGAGAGATGATCACACACAGTTTCGTCCTTTTTTGTCCTCAAGGACAATTTTCCTGTCCTTCACCTCCTCTCAGAGTGATCAGAGCACAAGCTAATTAGACCTGATGCAGAATTTTCGTATTTTTTCTCTCACACTCTTGCAGCTGTTTTGCTCGAAGGCTCCTATCCCGCCAAGGCAAAATGGCTGGAAAAAAGGTCAAGTCTTCCCATGGACGAGGAGGTGTGTGGCATCATTAGATTGAAGGCTGGGAAAGCGAGGTGTTGGCAAGGTTCATCTCATCTCAAGATGCTTGCCGCAGAAGCACAGACTAAATATATCGCTGCTCCTTCCCTGCTGACGCTGGTCGGCCAGCCAGACTTCAGAAAAGTCCAGAAAGGAGGTCAACTGCTGCGTACTGTAGGTAAACCTCACAGTGCGGAAAGAACCAGGGCCTGTGTAATTGATGGCGGAGGCGGGGCTTGGGCTCCAGTGGGCGGTGCTGGGTAGGTCTGGTGCATCAGAGGCCAAATGAGGATAGAGGGAGCGCGTGATCACTAGTGTAATGACTCGAAGTAGCCAGAGTCAAAATGAACAGTTTAATTTACATTTAATATTTACCGTAATCTTTCTACTAAAGTTTCCCTCCGAAAAGTTCATGCCCCTTTAATAGTAATAGTTCCTTTTTGTCAGTACTAGTTGTGGAAAGATTGTATCCTTACATAGGACTGTTCTGTCATACTTAAGTATTTATTGAAGATGGTTAAGTATTATTTTTAACAGATATGGTAGACTATCACATATTTGTCAGCAAGTCAAATATGTGTGGTATTACTACTGTATATAGTATAAGGGCCTTGCGTGTATCACATGTTGAAGATCACATGGTATCTAGATGCTCTGTTCTAGAATTATTCCCCCAGTGACCCCGACCCAGAATTGCCAGCCCCCCCTACAGCCTTTATTACTTTGCAGGAGCCAAACTCCCCCCCCCCAAAGGAAAAATTTGTGCCCCCTTAGGACTCAGTACATTTTCACAGGATGTGAATCAATTATTAAATATTAAATACTGCAAATGTGTTCCTCGGCGAGACACGGGAATTTCCGCGAGATTAATTAGCTCTGCGTTTTAGCTTTCTCCACTGCCTCTACCTGTAGGAAGCGAAAGAAAGGAACGCTGAGGCTAATTAGGTCTGAGCATGTTGCTCTTTGACAATTAATATTTACTTCCCATCATTCCCCCTATCTGCAGTCAATTAACAGGGGTTTCAATGATGTTTATTGCTCAGATGGGACGATGCTAAGATAATGCTTTTTGTATTTCCATAAAACCTTTGGATAATCATCTCCTCATTCTTATCGACCATATTACGACAATTCTCTATGAACATACCAGCTTGTCCTCTGTGTGTACATCTAAGGAGGTCGAAACATCTGACTGATCACACCAGACCTCAGTGCTCTTGGTCGAAGGCAGATGAGTTAGAACGTAGCAGAATGTGCCTGAATCATGAGTCACATGTTGCGATGTCTTCCAATCAAGGCAAAGTCACTCTCTCATTCACAAACAGGACGGCTGCTGACTAGTCAGAAAGGCTTTATGTCCTTCTTCTTACACGTTGAGTGATGTTTGACAGTCAAAACAGGTGCTGTTAGCGCTTTTGCTTACAAATGAATCTCGGTTATAGCAAGGTGCCCAAGATCTCCTACTTACCCTTTCTAGAAAGTCTTAAGCCATTGAACTTCTTCAGAATGAGAGAAACCAATCGGGCCAAAGAGTTTCAAGCATACTCTCCTAAATATGGGGTGTACTTCCAAGGAGATTGCCATCCACGTTACAAAGGACAGTCCTTGGCAAATGATCACTATCTGTCACTCACTGACCTGAGTGGTATACAAGATCACATTCTGCTCCCCCGGCCAGCCTCCTTCTTTCGCTCCCCCCCCC